AGGGGCAGCCCGTGACGGGACGGCCCGACTGAGGGAGGCTGGGCCGGGGGGCGCCTCCCGCCCCTCCGGGCTGCTGCGCGGGGCACCCCCGGGGTATGTGCTCGCCTCCTGTCCCTCCCCTCCTCGGTGTTGCCCGCAGGTAGACTGCTGGGTGGTGCTCCCTGTCCCAGCTGGCTTCAACCTCCCGGGGCTTTTCGATGAGTAAACACAGCGCTGTTCCGGTGTGCGGGGCCAAAGGGGTTTATATTTAGTCAGCCGGGGTGGCCGGCGCTGAGGACGGTGCGGGTGAAGCGAGCCCTGCCCTGCCTTTGGCGCGGTGTCGAGGCACCCGCTGCAAACATGACATGTGGTTTCTGTGCTGTCGGCAAGCACACTCATGCGCTGCCCGGCGCGGTCCGCCGGCCGGTAGCGTAGGGCAGGTGAGTGCCCCGAAGTGGCCTCCACAGGATTTTCGTTCCCTGTGACTCGTAGGTGCCTCGGACCAAGCTCGCAGCAGTGTCCGGGCGTTTCCCTCTCTCCTGGTGGTAGGAGTTACAGTTCTACGGACTCCACGGAGTCCATGTAGTGTGGTGTCTGCTCTTCCACAGAACGGGCATGTGACCTTGGGAACAATCAATTTATATCTGCCCTGCTTTCACAACCACTACCCCAGATACACCGCTGCCTGTCCCAAGTGCTTGGAAGCCGACACAAATAAATTACTTTTGTTTTACTTAAAACTTGAAGGCTGGTAGTTTAATACAAACTTAATTCATCGTGTTCACCATATTGCTATACTTGTCCTTTACCCATGCAGTGCTAAGTAGCAGTGGCTGAGAATGTGTCAGCCTGAAAAGAAATGAGTAGGTAAGGCTGACACACCTCTCTTCAGTGAGAAGCCCAGTCTCTTTTGCTGCTGTGACTGTTGGGGAGAAGAACTTTAAAATTTTTGCATGCATGCTGTTTCTCACTTTTCTTTCTAGACTTTGATCTTTTCCAGACCTTCCCTGGCTGGAAGGTACTATAAAAATAATTAAAATGCAAGTCCCTCTCCTTTCAGGTGGAGTGGAGAAGTCCTTCTATCTCCTCATTTACTTCCCAGTTTCCAGATTGTTATTAATAAAAAGGAGCTGACTTTCTTGTCCCTACCAACCTCCATTTTTTCCTGCAGACTGGCTTAAACCTATGCTTCTGCTTCTGTTTTCAGTTTTTCTAAGCTGACTACATGAAGGACTCTTGTCAGGAATGCAGAACTCACCCACACTTATCACACAAGCTAATCAACAGTTTGTTAAATTTATTCTTTTCAAAACTTGAAAGAGGAATAGCAGTAGACAAACCGGAGTAAACTTGGCATTACCTGTGTGTATCCAGTTCAAATGCAAATAATGCATTTTCTTTAATCTTTGTTTTCTGGAAACAGGGCAGTTCTGGCATGTATCTGACCTACATTTAGATCCAACTTACCACATTACCGCTGATCGCACCAAAGTTTGTTCTTCTTCCAAAGGAGCCAATGCCTCCAACCCAGGCCCTTTTGGAGACTTTTTGTGTGATTCTCCATATCAACTTATTTTGTCAGCATTTGCATTCATGAAGGATTCAAAACAGCAGGTTTCATTCATGATTTGGACTGGGTAAGTGTTCAGGTCACTCTGCAGTTAAAGCTTTTAACGCTGGATAGCCATATAGTGCAGTAATTCACAAATTTAGATTTGCACCAACAGATCTGAGTTTAGTGTCTCACAAATGCTACTTTTAAATAGTCCCTTTGGTTGTCCGAATGGCTAATAAGTGGAAGACTGAGTGAGAGTATAAGGCCTCAGGAACAGATTTTGATTACTGTAATAATTTCTGGATATTGTTAGACTGTTCATTGGGACATTGACCACATGACTGTATTAGCGTAAGTTAATAGAAATGGTGCAGGGAGGGTGGGAAGTGGAGAAAGCAGAAGGTCATAGGAATAACTGGAACAACTGTGGGACATACTGGATTTTGTAGGTCTTAAGGACATTAAAGTGCATCCCTTTTTACAAAATATCCTTTATTTTATTTGGTTCTTTAAGAGGTAACTAGAATCATGCAACACCAAGGCTTACTTTTTTTTTTTTTTTTTTAAAAAAAAAAAATTCTGGATCGGGAGCTAGCAGGGTGCAGGATAACAGTGTTGTAGATGGTGTCTCTTTCTTCATGAGTATTACTCATAGCTGCATGTGCTTCTAAAGAAAATGTGTTTTCACAGTCCTTCATTGCAGTGTTTTGGATGTGTGCAGTCCACTGCTGAGTAAAATATTTACCTTTTCTGTGCTGATCTTCCTTATTAGAAAATGGGCATAATACTACTCTCTCTCTCTCACACAGGTGTTACCTGTGAGGCTTTGTGTGCCTTAGCATTGGGACTGGAGAAAGAAGTGTGAAAGGGAGGCATATGAGTAGCTCGATAATACCATGCTCTGTTACTTTTTAGGTATTCATAAAAGGTAGCATCAATTTACCCTTCTGCCATTGCAAAATTCTCCATTCTACCATCACATATTTTTTTAATGGTTTATATCAATAGATAACTTATCGACAAGATTAGTGGGTTTGAGTGTTTGTGAGAACTAGTTATCGATGGGATCTTTTTTGCTGGAAAGATTATGGATGTTACGTCACTTAATTTTGCTGGGGGAAAGGTGTTAAAAAATATGAATATGTAAAGACAAGTGATTAATTTATTTCACTTATTGTACTTCATTTTCCACAGGACATTGTTAAAAGGGGAAAAATAAACTTATGAGGTTGTGCAGATGACAGAAGATACATAACCCAAACTGCATAGTAGCTCAAAATGATTGAGTTGAATTGATTTAATTTCTAAGAAGTCTTAGTTATGATAAATGTGAATCATACAAAACACATTACTTTTTTGATTTATTTTTTTTTTAAAAAAAGCCTTTGTGGAGAGCCTTTCGGGCAGTTCTATGATTTTAATTAAAGAGTCTATAGTAGTATTGCATGCTAGAATGTAGATTTGTTTGCAGAATTTTTTGCCTTTCCCTATATTGCTTAATAAACCTTTGTTAATAAAGCATTTTCCTTTTTCAGAGATAGCCCTCCTCATGTTCCTGTAAAAGAACTCTCCACAAAGTTGGTCATTAGCATCATTGGCAATATGAGCTCTACAATTCGTAATTTCTTTCCAGATCTTCAGGTTTTCCCAGCCTTGGGCAATCATGACTACTGGCCACAGGTAAAACAAGTTAGAAATTTCTTTATCTATCATATTGACTGTGTTCCTAACCCCTCAGAAAGCAGGTGTGAAAAATAAGAGTTAAATTTCTGTGACTGTTATTCCAGAAAGAGCATTCTACAATTTTCCAACTAGCATGTAAAGTTACAAATAGTTCCAATCAAGAACAGAAAGTACATCTCTCTCTGTGTGTTAAGTTAGCCAAACAGACACTGATGCCAGTAAAATCTGTCTGAGGTCATGCAGATTTACTGCTAATCGTTCCTCATGGCTTAGAACCACCAGGTCTCATCGTAGTTAATACACGCTTATTTTTTTCTTGCTGTGTAAGTCATGCATGTGTGTGCAATGACTTAATCTAACAGAAATGGCACTCTTAATGGATCTTTGAGCCTGTGGTAGGATTCAAGGCCTACTGAAAGGCCTGTTGGAAATCTGTCTGCTGACACTGGATTTTTTTTATCAAGAGTAACAGCAGAATTTTTGTAATGTTCCCATAGTTTTGCAATTAATATTAAAAATATATCTTTTTTCTTTCCTTATTGGACACTTAGAAATATTTGCATTGATGATTTACTGGATTGCAGCTGAGGACAGTTCTTTTTTTGCTTTCAGTGTTCTGTGAATATTGTTCTTGGCATAGCTCAAAAGTAAACAGTTGCTTCATGTGTCCTTTAAAGCTTGTTGTGGGTTGATCTGGCAGCACACAGGACTGAGAAGCAAATTCTGTCATTGGATCTGAGGGGATCGGAAGGGATGTGGAGCAGGTCAGCTAAAATATTTTGTTTGAAATGCCAAATGGGAATTCGGTAACACCCCCTAAGACTTTTAGTCCAGCTTGCTGTCTTACTCATTAGGCCTATCAGGATATATCTTGGTGTACTAGGTGATTGTATCGTTGTCTGTGTCATTACTGCAGTTAGTGATTCCCAAATGAGGGAGTAACAGAGGTGCTCAGACAGGGGAAAGGGAAATGTGAGAGACAAAATAAGATCTAAAGGTACTTTGGAAATGTGAGTGCACAAACAAAGCTGGAACTTCAGTGTTTTCACTCTGGTAGTATAGCTTCAGCTTGTCATGCGCACTGACAGGGGGCCAGGTTGGTTCACCAGAAACCACGAGTAGAGTGTTTTGAAAAATAACACCTTAACTGAAACCTCACTCAGTGTTTTGTTTTCATTTTGTTTTGTTTTTGTTTTGTTTTTTAAGTCTTGACAGAGAATAGTTGTCATTCAGCAGTCTCCTTTGATATAGAAGAAAAAACTGTATACAGTAACCTTGTAGACAAAGAATGCAGTGACTTTTCCAACAAATAAGAGTTTTGTTTGAGAAAAGATGGTCAGGATGGGCAGATGGGTAGCAAATATTATTTTGAAGTAGGCTGCTGATTGGAGTAACCATTGTAGTTCTCTCTGCACAAAACCAAAGGAGTGTTTCTGTGATGCTTTGAAATGGCAGGCTTCACCAGTACGCAGAACTGCCATACTTTTTTGTTACTGTTTGAAAAAGACCATTGGGATCAGAATTTCCCCACTGTGGGGTCATTTCAGGTTGCTGGATTATTATTTTTTTTTTCTGTTGATGACATTTCTGTTTTTCATAGGGACATTCTTGGCAAATGTCCCGTAGACTGGGAAGCGATGTGGAGCAAGCCACACACAGTAGGCTGTTTCAGAGCAAGTGTGAAAGCTGCGCACTCACTGTGCACTGAAGAATTTTATTTCTCTCTATTGTGTTCTGACCTGTCTATCTTAACAGTTTAATGGTCTTGGGTGATTTTTCTTGCAGAACCTATTAAAAGTACTACTCAGGTTAATCAAGCATTGGGGTACCTTTCAGATTGTATATTGTGACCTTGGTCTTTCTGCATAGTCTTACTTGTTTCAGATCCTTGCTCCTGCTTAAAACTAATTCCTGAACTGCTGTCTAATCCACAAGTTCACACAGCACTGACTTGCCTACGTCCAAGCCACCTTCAGTCCATAATATGGCCTCTTATCTGGGATCAGGTTTTGCTGTGTCTGTTAGTGACTGTTAGCTCTGGTTGAACTGGTGTGGCTCACAGCTTTCTTAATAACTGGTATCTGTGCACTGCAAGCAACAGATGTCTGAACAAACTTCTGATTGCACTACTCCTAGACAGAGACTTAGTGCCTAAGCCTTTAATAACATAGCTCTAGTTTCAAAGATCTTAGAAAGGTCAAATTTTCTGTTTAAGACAACATGCACTCTAATACCATTCCTATTTCTCGACCTCTGTTTTTTTCTTCTAGCACCAAGAATCCAAGCAGATATTTCAGGAAAGGCAAGGACAGGCTGGGATCTTCCTGTCAGGGTTAGATGAGAGCGTGGCTTTTCTCAGGCTGTGGCACTTGGGCATTGCTTGGCTCAGACTGAAGAGTGCTACAGTCCTAATTAGAACTGGTGGGAGAAAACACGGACAAAACTTTCCATTTATGTTTTAAGTGCTTTGTTACTAGAACTACAGGATATCATGGAAATATTTGTGAATTTCACCAGAATGTTTCTGAGGGCCATAGTGGAGTTTTGGGGAGCTGCTATGAACCCCAAGTTGCTTGAAAAATTCACCTGCTATGAAAGAAGCTCATCTTCTGGCTTTTCCTCCAGGAGTGTTTATTTTTAGCCTTTGAATCTTCAGTTTATATATTTTGCAGAATGTATGGCTTTCCACTCTGCTGTGCGCCTTCCTAAGGCTTGAAATATTTCTGGCATTAGTTTATTAATGCATTAACAGGGCCATGCAGTCAGTTCTGACTAAGTTCAGGCCCTTGTTCCTGATCAGCAATACCAGATGTTCAGAAGTCTTTTTTCTTATGTTCCTCCTGATGATGACTGGATACACTTAACGTGTTATGCAAGAGGGCAGGTGGGATAATTTAGTGATTTTTTTTTTTTTTTTTTTTTGTGTGTCTGAACACTAAGATTTAGGCAGGTTCTGCTCTCTCACAGGATCAGCTTCCTGTAACTACCAGTGAAGTTTACAATGCTGTAGCAGATTTCTGGAAACCTTGGCTAACTGATGAAGCAATCAATACCTTCAGAAAAGGTAAAATATGACAATAACGCATTGTAAAGATAGGGCTTAGAGAGCTAATGTTTCTGTAGAATTGTCCTGTTTGTTTAGCTAAGTCTTGTAGGATGAATCAGCACAATGTATTATCTGAAATGCTTTTCCTGGAAGAAGTTACTTGTCCTTTTGAATAGCAGTGCTTATATTCAGGGTACATTTATTCTCTTCTGATGCAATAATTATTGCTTTTTGTAACATATACAGTATTATTTGCTTTGTACCAAATCATGTGAAATACCTTATTGCCTTCAAGATCTCATAATCTTGATAAATATTATATAAAGGCATCTGATGCATGAGAAGATTTAAATTTGGTTTTAAAAAAATTGATGAAATGTTGTTTCTGTTTTGATTCTATATGTATTTTAGAACATGTTGAATAGGCACATATTTGTTCAGGTTATGATATCACAGTCTTGATGATTATATTGTTAATTGCATTGTATTTGTGTCAAATTTACTAAACTGGGAGAATATTGATATCTTGATTATGATTTTTCTTTTTAGCAAAGGACTGAAAAGTTCAACCCAATTTCCAATCCACTCAAATGTTAGGGATTTGGAAGTTTAATTTGTGTTATTGTGTCCTGAATGAGAAGGAATTCTGGGTAAGAGTGGAAGTAGAAACTCTTAACAGGAAAAATCAAGCTCAAAGGGGCAGACCTTACATTAAGGTATATTGTTATAGCTCTGTTCCCATGGCTCCACTGAAGTCCGTGAACTATGAAGATGCATCCATTGAAGAAGCTCTGTATGCTATCAAGCTTTTAGGAGCTTGAAAAATGGCTTCTTTTCATCATAGTCCAATCTGAAGTTACGAAGCTACCAAATTCAGTCAGTTCTTCTTGGAGGAACCAATATGTTTGCAGTATTTCAAGAAATGTGGACTTTTTAACAATTACCGAATCTCTCGGTGTGGAAGAAATGTTACAGGGCGCTTCTTGCATGTCAGTTGGATAATTGCATCTGAAAACTGTCAAACACAAAGGCAATTACAGGCAAGAATTCATTAAAAATTCAGTGTCAACTTCTCCTACTAAAATGTTGCTAAAAACAGATTGTTGAGATGATCAGTTGTGATGAGGTGATGCATGGCTTGAATAAACATACCATACTCTTTTATTAGAAAGAGTAAGGCTGGGTATTTTGTCAGTGCTGTACTTTCATTCTGAAGTTGTGCTTTGAAACTTTTCATTTTTCAAATTATGTTGATCTTATTTTCACAGGTGGCTTCTATACGCAGCTGTTTGAATCCAGTGATAGCTCTCAACCACTCAGGATAATCAGTCTGAACACAAATTTATATTACAGCCCCAACAGTGTAACTGTGAATATCACTGACCCAGCCAACCAGCTTGCCTGGCTGGAGGCAGTACTAGAAACCTCTTCACAGAAGAAGGAAAAGGTAGGTGCTGTGAACAGAGCCCATCAGCCTTATTTTTTTAAACTTCAAAAAGAAAAAAAGAGAAGTAAGAAGTAGAGACATTGAAAATATAAACACGAGTCTAGAAGAGTATTAATGCTGCCAAAGATACCACAAGATCAAAATTTAATTTTTAAAAGAATTCTTCCTTGAATATGCACATTATACAGCAACACTTAACAAAATAGTTGAGTGCAGCTTCTCAAATTATACAGTAAAATACCTTTTCTTTCCTACTGTGTAGAATACTGTAGGAGTCAGGATGAGAATACTTAATACTTTTGTTTCTGACTCTTTATTCATAGCTGTTAATTTTGAAATGTGCACCCTTGACCTGAGACAAAAGCTAGCATATTTAATTTATATTTTTATGTAATTGCAAGTATCAAAAATATAAATTATAAAGGAGTTTGTCAACCACGAAACTTAGCCAAGCTTCAGCAATTGCTGTGATTTGAGTGTTATAATAAAATGTCTTATAATACTTAGGTTTTGAATTGAGGTTATAAATTGTTTGCTCGTGTTGGATTGATTGATGTGGGGATTGGATCATCATTTGACCAGAAAAACTGTTTAATTTGAAACATGTTTACATTTTGCTATGGTATTGTAATATTAAAAATACAGTATTACAGTCAGGAGAAAGGAGAGAATTTCCCTTCCTCATAAAACCTCACAGCCTATTGGTTGGTATGTGAGTTGGAACCAAGTCTTGACCTCTGACAAGAGGGGTTTTAACTAGTTCTTCCATGTTTCTGGTGACTGACCATTCAGGCTCTGTAATATTCTAACAGTAGTTTTTCTTACTATCCCCTTGAGATGCCAAATTATAAGTCTTGCCCTAGTAACTTTTTAATTTGAAATAATTGATCAGATTTTCTTTGGCCTAAAAATCACATACAGATTTATTGGAACTTTTTTCCCAAGAATATACTGAATTCACTGAAAAAAAATTTGGGTTTTTTATTATGAATGTAAACTTTTTTGCCGTTTGTATTTTGTATAACAAAACTGTTGTGATTTACAGCCTTCAGAGTGCCATTTCTAAGACAGCATTATTATGAAATTGTGGTAACCATTTCTAAGTTATAGCTGAAAGTGTAAGTTTCAAATGAAGGTGCTAATTGTGCTTTCTGTATCTAATTTCTTAGGTATATATAATAGGACATGTACCAATAGGATACTTGCCATATGCAAGGAATACTACAGCTATCAGGGAGTTTTACAATGAAAGACTGGTAAAGATTTTTCGCAAATACAGTAGTGTTATTGCGGGGCAGTTTTTTGGACATACACATAGAGATAGCATCATGGTCCTCCTGGATGAAGAAGGTAATGATGCTTGTTGAATCATTAATCTTTTTTTATTCTTGATTAAAAGCAAATTAATATTTTCTTGCATGTTCTTACTAGTCAGCATCTGTTATAAATAATTGAAAAAGGAAAGAAATACTGCTCTTTATCTACAAGTGTTCAAGCCTCATACACCCAGTTTTTTTCCAAAGAGAACCTTGCAAGGCAGACTTTTTTTTTTTTTTTTTTAAAGTCAGAAGAGACTCCCCAAGCATCCTATTTTTTTAATGAATGCTTATGCCTAGACAAGAATTTCTAGTCTTTCCTCTCTGCTCTCTTAGTGACATGGGCAAATTATACTAGCCAGTTGCTATTGTGTAGTCTGTCAAAGGGAATGTTCTCAGGCCAACTAGACATGCTCTGTGTTCTTGTGTTTCCTGCATCATTACTGTGCCTCTCTGCTGAGTTCCCTGCTGCTTTGAAGTTAATTAAGATAAGAGTAATCAGGAGGCAGGGGAAAGAAAGTCTCTGCCTGTTGCATCTCTTAGATCAGCTAATTTCCCTTCAGGAAAAGCACCCAGGTTTAAAAAATGCTGTTTATTGCTTTGAAATCCCTTAGTTTTAAGCATGGGCACGGCTGTATGGAGCACTCTGACATCTCTAACAGAAGATCTCTAACAAGTAACTGGTTCAATATTTGTGTCTGTACCATAGAACAGTGAGAGATTGGTTTATGTAAAATACCCAAATATTTATTGACTCTTTATGTGTGTTTTATATGCACTCATAAAAGCAATGTCCAAAATGCTGACTGGGGTAACAGTATTCTAAATCATTTACCTTTTTACACGGCACTATCATGGAATTAATCTCCAGTAAAAAGGAATCTGGCCCCAGTGAAGGTTCTGGCTTTTTATATTTTTTAAAAATGGTGTTCAAGGCAGTCTTATACCGACATATATTTGTACCATGTCCCATTTTTGCATGAAATAATCATCTCTACTGCAAATTTCACTGAGGACAGGCTGTTCTTGGTGCCTTGTCATTAGAGCTTGCGTGTGCAAGTAACTGCATCTAAATTATTTTAATAATTTTGCATGTTTTGACAAAATTTAAAGAGTGAAATTACCTGTGGCTAAATACAGTTTGAATTTATCTGTACAGTTTTAGGGTGTCTTCTATTCGTGCTATTTTACTCTTTACGAAATTCCACAGAATTCAAGATAAATAATATTGTAACCAGCATCAGTGTCCTGAGATACAGAGCTCAGTTGTATCTTCTCCAGAAGAACCTACTGATTTCCATGCTTTCAAAGCTTCTGCTCATATATGGAAACTGACCTTGTGATTTCACTACTGTGATGTTGTCAGAGAAAGGAATAGTTAGGGCTTCTTTTTTGTTCCACAGAGAACCTCTCAATATACTTACCTGCATATTCTGTCTAATTAAAACCTGTGTACATCCTCATGTTTCAGTTGCTGTAAAGATCGGCATTCACATAATAGGTGCTGGGCTAGTTTAGATAAGTGAAGTCAAGGTCAGGTGATGATAACCAGCTGTTTCTAATAACATCAGTGATACATAAACCAAAAAATGCTTAAAGCAACATGTAAAATATAGCATAGAAACAGCAGCTGAAGGTTTTGCATATTTCTTCAGTAGAAATATGCAAAATATGGAGAGCTTACATATAGACAAGACCATTTTGCACAGGTAGTTGAGTTGGTGGGAAGCCTCTAGTGTAGACAAACTTAACTGGTACACAGTGGAATGTATACTGTGGTATTTTACATAGATTTGGATCTATCCAGTGGAAGTATAGAAGGAGTTCACAGTGATACAGCTAATCCAAGGAAAAAATGCTAATGTATTTAAGCTAGTCACTCTGGTTCTTGCTGTGTTGGTTCTCTACAAAAACATTTGTTTGAGAGACAAATGATTGAAAGGAAACTCTTTTCTTCACCTTCCCTCTTCCTGCAGAAAAGCCAGTAAATTCCTTGTTTGTGGCACCTGCTGTAACTCCAGTGAAGAATGTATGGCAAATGGAGTCCAATAACCCTGGTGTCAGATTGTATCAATATGATCATCTTGATTATAGTTTGCTGGTAAGTGAAGATTTTAAAGCATCATTTCAGACTTTAAATATAGTGTCGTTAAAAATGACAGTGAGATGTCAGCCTTTGTGGTATTATATCTGTTGGTGGGACTGGTGTTTACTGTTATTTTTCTTCCTGGGCAAAGGAAAGGAAATCTGAAAGAGGACTTGGTGAGTCTTTCTGTGCCTGCAGGACTAACCCAATACTTCCTGTTCTCTATGGAATATACTTATGACGTAGAATCAGACAGTCAGAAATTTTCTGGGCAGCATCCTAAAAGTAGGGAACTCTGCAAAGGTGAAAAAGGTTAAACTCTGGGCTTGTTTACATACCAGTGTTATTTGCTGGTGGTAGCCTGAGCTTTGGGATGCAGTCCAGGAAATGCTTCTAAAGGGTGTAGAAGAGCAGATGAAGAAAAGGACTTTTAACAAGGTGATGTCTTTCATAATCATGCACCTTCCTATATAGAATTTATACTGTAGAAATATATAATTTATACTATAGGAAATTGTAGATAAATTTAGAAGGAAAAAGATACAATACTTCTATTCTGTAGTCTCATGTGATTTTGGAGGTAAAGTGAATCCTGTATAATTATTTTGGCTCTGAATGACTTGGATACTCTCTAATTCAGGGTAAAACCTTGACCTCGCTGAGTTCAGTGATGTGTCATCTTGCAGCCTGACTGGGTCTGGGGGTTTCCCTCAGGAGACTTGTGCTAATACAGGCTGCTCCTTTGTTGTGCAGATTTCACTCCTGCACCTCCATCTGTTCCTTTCCCTTAAATTCTCCCTGGGCCTTTTTTTTCTGTCCATTCTGCCCCTCAAGCAGTGTTCGCAGAAAAGAAACTTTGGGATCTCTCCCTTTTGCCTCATTCCTAAAGCAGACATGAGCATAGTGGAGTTTGGTTTACAGTTTGGACAGGAAAGACCTCTAACACTGCCACTGCTGCCTTTTGTGGCTTTTTTTTCTTCTCCTCCCCATCCCCCCACCATTACCACACTGCAAGGACCAACTTTGGGTGTAAGCCCAGCTCTTGGGGTGGGACGTGACCTTCTACTGAGTTGTGAATAATAAGGAGTGACAGCTTCCTAATCAATATATCACTCCAGAGACTTAATGAAGCAGGGAAGAAAGCAATACAGCCATGCCTATTTTTTCTTTTTTTTTTTTTTTTTTAACCGTAGGATCTTTGGCAGTTTTATCTGGACCTCAGAGATGCCAACAAGAAAAATGAATCAAATTGGAAATTAGAATACATCCTGACTAAAGCTTACGGCATTGAAGACTTGAAGCCAGAAAGCCTGTATGAAATGGCCAAGCAGTTGTCTGTGCCACACAGCACACTGTTTGAGAAGTATTACAGTAACTTCATTGTGAGTTATGACAAAACCATTGTCTGTGAAGAGGGGTGCAAGACCTGCCAAATATGTGCAATCCGATATTTGGATTACTCCTCATACACAGATTGTATCAATCAGGAAGCAATGTGGAGATAAAGTCTCTGTGCAATTTATGCTGGTATTGATTTTAGCCTGTGATTTAAAGAACCTGCTCATCCTTTCGCTCAAGCACTGACATGCAGACAAGGGAGCCTGCGGGACATCTATGAATTTCAGGGGAACAATAAATCTTCCTAGATCTTTCTTCTTGTAAACATGTTTTCCTTTCACATCTAAATAAAAGTTTATGGCTGCTTAAAGTTAAAGTCTGGCTATGTAATAGTGGCCAGATATTTTGCTGTTGTTTCAGGTGTTCTGTACCCTATGTAACAGGCTGTACCAGTAAGTGGGAATAGAAGTTGCTCACTCGGTTCTTTGAAAATCAAGTCTCATTTCTCAGGGTGTGTAAACGTAGGCAATGCCATTTCAGGCATGGGATTTGTATGGGGGAAGGTTTCAACCATCTGCTGTCACAATTTGCAAACTGAAATCTGCAAAACCTGCATTTGCTGAGAGTGGAGTGCAGTTATGTTGTTGATGAAGTGCCAGTATTAGGTATCTCCCTGTGCCAAGTTTCCTTTTCCTTCTTAACCCCTTAAACCTACCTCTGTTTAGAGGCATATTCTAAAGCCAGCATGAAAGTGACTTAATGGATCACAAACCTCCATCCTGTAAATACTTAATGCGTTTTTTCGGAATGTGTTTGCTGAGCACAAAGAGCTTTTTTTTTTAATTATAGAACTATGTACATTGGTACTGCTGTCAAGTAGTCTTCTGGTACGAGATTGTGCAGCAGACCATAAATCAGGTTTAAATCGATGAACATCACTAATAAGACATAGCGTATACATTTTCTGTGTAGCACAGGGAAACATGCATGTGTCATGGTGTCACTTAGGTTTTGTTTTTCATAGAGCAGTCTAGTACTTAATGTGAAGCATATCACACGTATGAATTTACAATTGCACGGACCACTTCTTCCTCTTCTGATTAAATGTGTGCACAAGATAATATTAAGGTGGCCATTTATCTAGTGTGTATGGTCAAGAAGGACCTTTACCCATTTTTCTGTCACATCAAGAGCTATAATTTTTGAACCTTCAATCAATATAATACCATACGGACCCTACTCTAGGTAATATTATTCCAGAGTAACTAGAGCTGTAGAAGTGGTTATGAGACACATCCAATTGCTGTTTATTTTCATGAGATTAAAAGCTTTGCTGTAGCTGTTGAGGAACTTTCTGGGTTTGTTTCTACTCAAGCTTGAAATGTTTAGCAGACTATTTCTAGACAAATGTCCTAAGTCTAGTATTAACAACCATAGATGCAGATACCTCAGATTTGTCACGCATCAATCATTCACAGAGGAAATGTTGGTTTGTTAAATTTGCATTCAGAAACAAACCCTCCAGTGGCATTAATGTTTAGGAATGCCATTAATAATGCACAGTAGGCAGCCCTGTATTTTAGATTCTGTGCTTGGAGAGAGTATGGTGGGCGTGTTAACTCTTTAGAGCTATCTGCTCTGGCAGATCTTGAATGTGTCTGCATATGTAAATACCCTGAATTGACGTGGGTTCTGTACAGACTGTGACTGTGAGGAAGTACCAGAAAGTTTCAGTGCTGAAAGCTGATGATTCCCTCTGTGTTGGATGTGTTTCTTGGTGACGTTTCTCATGTTCATTAAAAAATGCCTATGTTGCCAGTATCTGCTCTCCACGGGCAAGCAGATAAAGTTGTGGGCGGATAGCATAAGGGCAATTGCAGTTGATAGGATAGCTGAGCTTCCTCCAATTTGCCAGATGGGTTTTATTCAATTCAATCTTGTGCTTTGAACAAGTGTCTCTGTTCTCATAGTCGTTTGTTTCTGTGAGTTCTGTGATTTCTGCTTAAACTTAATACCTACAAGACATCCTGGAAACACTAAAAATTACCAAGTTGTATTTTTCCATTAAGGACTTCTTTCCTGCTGAACTTTAGCAACGGCAGCAGCACTGACTCACAGCAGACAGTGTGGTGAACTTTAGGGACAGCTGAACCACATGGCACCTAAGTAGCTACAGAACTCTAGAAAGAGTGGTACTCTGCTGATGGGTTGTTGGGCACCTTGCTGCTTAGATTTCTTTATTGTATGTGTGTCAGTAGATGCTACTTAGTGAGCATGAATAAATTAATGCCTACAAATATCTGATTAGCAAGCTATGATCCTGATATACTTTTTTTTAAAATCTGGAATTGAAGCTAAGAGTTGGATGGCATCAGCCAAGGAGGTTGGTTTTGCTTCAGCCAGAGGGATACATCCACCAGGATGTATCCTCCCAAGATACACCCTGTTATGCAGGCTAGCAGTCTCTACTTCTCCCCTATGTATGCTCATGCAAGTGCCAGCGTAACTGGCCAGGAAAGATCCAGGAGTATATTTGACTGCATTATTTTGTAACTCGGACATAAAGGAAGGAGAGCTTCTAGAAATGTTACACTGTAAAAAAAAAAAAAAAAGAGATAAATCACATGAACAGCTTAGATGGCACCTGAGTGTAAGGGGAAATAGAGGGCTACCATGATATGTTTGTTTCAGGTTCATACTTTATTCCTTCATGGATCTAGGAGTGTTCTAAAGGCCAGTTACCCTTTCCTGACAGGAGCTTTTTAAAGTAATCATAGAAAACATCAGAGAGACATGACTCGGTAAGAGTTACTGACTCCTGTAGATCAGATTCCCGTTTCACTTTTCATATGGTATTTTGTGGTCCCATCTTGAATGAAGGATTAGGGGGAATATTAGTAAGGCCACATTTGACAGAAAGACAAATTACACCACCTAGTGGAGTAAAAACTATTTCATTTATCTGCAATTAAACTTGAGGCATATAAACAAGGAGGGTAATTTCTCAAATATTCTAGGATTTAACTTATAGTTTTTGAAGGAAGTGCTGCTACTTCTTTGTAGCAGTACTGCCACGTAGCACACTTTCTCTGGGTATTGAATGGTTGCTGGCTCCTAGAGGCCAATGCCACTTGATGGGTCCTGAGCCTGCTGTATGTGCAGGTCTCAGCCCGCATCCAGGGAAGAACTAGGTAAGGGATGCTCAAGAGTCCAGATCAGCTAGCCAGCAGAAAAGGCATGCGATGTAAACTAAAGATCTATTACTAACCAGGCTGGTGTATCCTTCCAATTAGCTTCTGTGCTTTTAATTTTCTCCTGGAGTTAACTGAGGTTATGTCTACATTAACAGGTACTGCAGCCTAATAGGAGTGCCTTCTTTAACAGGAGAGATGGTGTTGAGAAGCTGATGCGACTGCTGCGCATTTCATTAGCAGTTGGAGGACATTAGTCATACCCTTGAAGTGCAGCTGCCAGCTGCAGTTGCATCTGAAAGAGTGCTCTCCAAGAGCACTCTGCAAGTTGAATAAAAGCACAGTAAGTGGGGATGATCAGTAAACTCTGTTCAAAGACGTGTTCCTGATCCAGACTAAAGTGAAGGTGCACCCAGAGGCCAACATTAATTGCTTTAGGTTGGGGCACTCAGTAGTGTCTGGATGTGATCTCATCATTTCTATTGTTTTTCACTTGCCAGCCTGAAGAAATTGAAATGACTGGAGGAGATGGGCAGTGAGTGAACATATTGTTAGTAAAATTGAAGTGATGAACTTAAGTTGTCTAAAGACAGAAATAAGTAACTAAATACATGTAGTCCTTTGTGGTCCATTTCCTGTGTGGACAAATGATGAGCACACATCTTCAAGGAAAAGTATCTAGTTTAACATTGTCATGTTTCCCTCTGTGGAAAAAGCAATCTCAAGAAGGTGAGTTGTCACATCGGTCTAAGAATAAAATCTCTTGAAAATTTCTGTCATGCCCAGTCAAGAGCAACTATGACAATCAATGAAGAAAGGGACTGTAACTGTCTAAACAAGATTAGTTGGTTTCCTTCCTTACTTTCCGAAAGCTAAAGACTAGCTTTTATCTGCTTACCACTACAGCTTTTAACAAGAAAATACTGCTTTAGATAATTCACTTGTCATCTGTCAGCCCCAGCTTTCTTGTTCTGCTGTAGGAACATCCTACCTAGGAATTCTTCCAGTTTTGTTATTTGCTGCTCTGGAAAGAAGCCTAGTATAAAATGAATGTTGTTTTTGTACTGTGTGTGAAATATCACAACTGTAGAAATTCAAAGAAAACACATAGAAAAAAAAAAAAACCAAACCAAAAATGTTAATTATCATATGTATGCTTAATTAGTTTCTGGTGGTTGTGGGAATGGCAAATGCCCTGAGTACTGAATGAACATTGCTGTTGTGCTACTGAACACTGTACATCAATTTCTACAAAAAGTAGGTATCAGGAGAGTGGTCACAAGTAGGATGGAACATGCAGTAGGTAGATGACTGAAATCATAACAAGGAAATCAGTTAAAACCAAAAATGATGAAAGTGAAACCACTGGAAATGTGGCAAACCCCAGCTTCAAGCACTTCGTGAAGCACTGCAAAGAGCACTAATGTGCTTACAGACATGGCCAAATTACAGCTTTTCAAGTGAAATTTAAGTTGCCTTCAGTGGTAGAGCTACATTGAAAGACTGGAAAATTTCTTCTATTATCTGCATTTCTATTGAATGGTGATCCGAATCTACCTGTCAGATGTGTTACAGCTAATTACTGAAATACTCTTCCACCATGTCTTGCAGCTTGCATTGGTTAAGAAAATTGGACATTGTTCTTGCACCCTAAACTCTTTGTTGGATTTTAAAGCAACCTCTCAGACATAAGGAATAATTAAGCTGGAGAAATTTCAAATGTCGAGCTGGGAAAAAAAGTTTTTCCCATCCTGAAAACCATCCCGAGATTTCAATATTTCCCACTGGAATAAAATCAAGACCTTGCTGAGGTTTTAGGCAGGGATTTGCACCTGAGCCTGCCACCTTCCCCCTCAGACACACTTGCTGTGCATCTGTCATGGTGTTGACTATGCCTTCTCCTTCTACCCTGGAACTGAACAGCTTTCTAAATTAAAATTGTCATTGGAACTAGTACATTTATATAAAAAATCCTGATATTGACACAGTATTTTCCACTGAAAACTGTTAAGCAATTCTCAAGAACTTCTCCCACACGCTATAAAGTTTGATGCCTTGCCCGTCCAACACAGTACATGCCAATGGATACACTGCAACAGCTTTTTTTTACCCTGTATAATCTA